TTAGACATAAAAAGAATGTTCAGAGTATCTCCCACTCCGTCTTGGAATTGATTTAACCACCAACGATTCACAGCTTGACTTTGAAATGTTTTACAGCCTATCCGCCCTCTGGGTTATCCGATCTAGTATAATTACGAGATGGATATTCTTGAATTGGAGAGGCTGGATGGTATTCAGTTTCTCAAGCTTCCTACAATTCCTTGCTAATAAAGTCATGTATGCACCATTTCGCGGAATCGGACACTTACATTTTCGTGGTTTTTGAATCTGTTTTTGAGGATTTAGAAACATTTGATCTCCTTCCAATAGGACTACACTAAGGAATCTGTTAGCCCCCACCTTTTAAAATGGTTTGAAATTCTAGAATCTCAATTTGGATGGATGTTATCATCGCGGTATGAGTTCTATATTTCAGAATTTGTCCAGGGAGGATGATGTGGTTTAAGATTTTGAGGAATGAACAATTGTACGAGAAATATTTAGTGTGTCGTCTCGTATTAATGTAGATCTTAAAGAACCAAATAAAATAAAATTTTAGGTTCTGCTTCACTAATGTTTTTCAGTGTGTAGCGGTTCGAGACTAGAGTCAATGAATTCATTTTTGTTTCAAAACAAAAAGTCAATTTAGTTTATTTTCATTACAATAGCTCCGTAACTAATTTATTTTAAACTAATCGATCATTTAGCCTTAAAATAATTATCATGTCTTACTTAATATGCCAAAAGATGACACTCGTTTTCGAATGTAAAATTATTATTGAAATGTTTGCAAATGTGTATATATATATGGTTGCAAAACAACTTAATTTTTTCGGATTTTGGTATGATATTAATGCTAGATAAAGAATTTCTGTATATACATTGAAGTTCCCTTTGTACAAATTTGAGAATTTAATTTCAGCGTATAACAATATTGGTCCAAAAAACTATTTCTAAGAGGGACATTCCCAACATATTTATCTCCCTTTTACATAAATTGTCACGGTAATAAAATATAACTTAACTAGTTTAAAACATAACTACTTCAAAACTTCAAATTTGTGACGAGAACCATATATAATAGAAACTTATGTAAAACCATGCAGAATACCAACTTTTATAACTAAGCGAAAATTCTGTCAAAGCAGACCAAAACTGGATGATCAATATGTTTAATGAGGCTTATTTTGGCAGGACATTCTGCACGAAATTGCGAGCTTTGCTTCTGGCTTCCCATGCTGCAGCTTTAAGCATAGTGAGGCCTGACCCTTCAGTTAAATCAACCTCCTCCGGACCAACCCTTTCCTGCTCAAGAACATCAAAACAACAAAACAACGACCCAAGGCGACGCCAAACACTCGCGCGCCAGGCCTGCGACAGGACACGATCTTCTTCCAATTCCAATTGGAATTAGCGTACTCCTGCATTTGAAACCACAAAAAAGAAATGTTGAGTTAGCTGAAACAATCAACTCAGGATGTTTTAAATTTTACGATAAATGATTGATGTATACAAGTTTGATGTAATTTAATTGCTGTAAAGTGCACTTTAGCTGATGCAAATAATAGAAGGACTAGTTTATAAATTTTGTATAGTTTAAGTTGTTGACTTCAGTCAAATTAGATAGAGTTTAAATACCATTGTACATTTCCTTTTTCAGTTGAATTAAGTTGAATAAAATCAGAATAACGTATGAACCATAACTGTTTCAAGATGCTATCAGTAGGTTCGATCTCCTCTTGTTTCCGCACGTCTCAAATTTCTCGGTTTTATCGCGCACTGATTCCTGCATCTATTTACGGTTCAGTTTCTCCAAGCAATGGTTAGTAATCGTTAATCGGATGATGATGAGTATCAACACGTACCACGGGGACGCATGCAATTTTTTTACCCTGATGATAAATTGCAACTTAATGGATTAGAAACTCCTGGTATGGTGCTTGTAAACTCCTCTTTGACTGGTAAGAATTACCGGATTTGGCGTAATGCTATGGTTATTCCTTTAGAATCGAAGAACAAATATGGTTTGTTGATGGATCCTGTGAAATGCCTACTATTAATTTTTCTCTTTTTAAGAAGTGGCGTCGTGTTCGTAGCATGGTTTTGTTTTGGATCAAGAATTCTTTAGCACCAGAAATTGCAGTGATTTTCAATTTGTCAATGATGCTAAAGAGTTGTCGGATGAATTAGCTCAGATGTATGGTACTTGTAATTCTCCAATGATTTTTGAGATAAAACGTAACATTTCTTTGATGAGGCAAGGGGAATGACGATTCCTCAATATTACAGTAATTTAAGGCAACTATGGGATCAATATGCTCAGCTTAGGCCCTCCATAGCAGCTACTAGCTTGCTTAAAGAACAAATTCAGGAACGTGAAATGGAAGATAAGGCTATACAATTTTAGGACCTTTGGTAATTATCTACTAGCCTTCTTGATGTTAAATGCAGCCAGCAAGGCTTGGTGTTAAAGCCATATACCACGATAACAACAATTTCAGTAGGCCTTCCCTGGTATTTACAGAGCCCATTGTATTTGTGTCAAAAGCCCTCTTTAGTTCCATTCTAGTACTACTACAATTGAGCAGGGATAAGGATTTAAATGTGTAGACAATCTTTAATTCATTTTAGTACGTATTGTATTTAATAAAACTTGTTGGTAGTTGGCCTGGTTGGAAGATAAAATAATTTCTAAGATCAGCAATTTTTGGTTTCCTTATGTTGCCTATATATTTAGAGAATTCCTCGAGATTTTCTCCAGCTTTTCTCTAGTTTGGTTCTAAATCTTTCACCCAAAAACCAGTTCAAAAGTATTAATCCTTTAACTCGATCTTCATTTTATCCTCTTTGTTTCCCAGGGAAAAGGAAACTCAAGAGCTTAGACATAAAACAGACCATGTTCAGTGAAATGAAATGCAAGAGGCCGTATCGTCCACTTCGTTTTGGAATTGATTTAGCCACCAACGATTCACAACTTGACTTTGAAATGTGTTACGACCTCTGCCCTCTGAGTTATGTCCAATTCAATGCAATTATGGGATGGATATTCTTGAATTGAAGAGGCTGGATGAGATTCAGTTGTCAAGCTTCCTGCAATTCCTCACTAATAAACATTTCGGCCACACCAGCCGCAGTATTGGACACTTTCATGTTTCGTGGTTTCCGGTTCTGTTTCTTGAAGCCTTAAGAGACCTTTGACCTTCTCCCAAAAGGTCTACACTAAGGAATCTGTTTGGCCCACCTTCAAAACCCTCGGAAATTCTGGAATCTCGGCTTGGATGGAGTCGCATGAGTTCTAAGTTTAAGAATTTGTTTAGGAAGGATGATATATTTTAAGATTTTGAGGAATGAACAGTTGCACGGGAATTACTAAATGTGTCGTCTCTTATTAATGTAAATCTTAAAGAATAAAGTAAAATATGATTACAGGTTTTGCTTCCCTAATGTTTTGCGTAGCGGTTCTAGACTAGAGTCAGTAAATTTATTTTTGCTTCGAAAATAAGGTAGATTTATTTTATTGTCTTCAGAATAGCTTCGTAAGTTATTTTATTTTAAACTACTTTTGTTTTTCTCAAAACAATTTCATATTTTATTTAAAACATGACACTCATTTTAGAATATAAAATATTATTGGAATGTTTGTAAATGTGTATATGCATGGTAAACAACTTTTGATTGATTTTCGTATTATAGTATTATAATGCTAAATAAAGAATCCGTTGTACATATATAACGGGGAAAAAAAAGCAAAAGAATTGGTGTGAAAGTTCTCTTTGTGCAGAGTGTACACAAGTGATCAAATTTGAGCACTTAATTTCAACATATAGCAATCGTCCCAAAACACCAATAGAACGGCTGCAACGACAAGTAGCTGACCAACAACAACAACAACAAACTTGTGACAACACTGTACAAGCTCCAATTGATCCCCACAAATTTCAGGGACTGGAGCAATTAAGCGAGTGATGTGCTTATAAGTTACCTATATTTAATATCCCTTTATGCTAAATATTTGCCAATATTTGAGTATAAAATATGCGATTTATATGACTTAATCTTTATTTGTAGGAATTGTACTCAAATGAATTGATTGTTGGAGTTTTGAACTAAATTAAAGACATAGAGCAACTGAAAAGGGTCGAGTTAAAGAAGAGAGAGGAAACTCAAGAGGAGGAAAGTGGAGAGCTTAAAAGTCAAAGGGCTGAGAATGCAAATTTGTCAATTTAATCAAAAAAATCTGGCCAAAGTAAAGTTTGTGCATGAGCTTTGGTTGATTGAGAAATGGGCCAATTTGGTTAATTGCTGGTTGAAAAGATTATGGTGATGTTTTCAAATGAGATTTCCTGGTCTTCATTGTGAGCATATTCCTACATGAAAACACCACCTCCAGAATCACTATAAACATTCTAAAGTCCCTTGTTAACATGAATGAGGTGACAGAATACAATTGGTGTGAATATGTGATTGATGCGCTGGTCAAAGGATGCAAATGCCACCACAATGAGAAAGTATTCACCGGACCGATCACCTTTTTTCTGGTACTTACCATATCCGTACAAATTTTACTATTTATCCATATTGCTCACAATGTTTATCCAATTTGCTTGTACTGATATCATTAATACCAACTTTTTTTCTTTTTTTTTTTCTTAATTGTGCTACCTTGACAATTGTGAGTATGAGAGAGCACATCCCAGGTCATTCCCTGTGATCAAATGTTGGGATCAAAAGATGCTAGACGATAGATTAAGACTTCAGGGAAGCAATTTCACGGATGTCCTGACACTCGAACGTCTCAAGAAACCGTCCTCAGCAGCATGCCGAGAAGAACACCCAGAGGGGGAATCACAGAAGGAGGATACACAAGCCAACCCCAACACACAGCAAGTCTATGTAGTGTTCTACCATTTTTTTTTAGATTACACCTACGTATCCAATCTAACATCTCCACATTCCACTCACTACATTCACTTTTGCAGGACCTTGCTGCTCTTTATGAAAAGTTCTACCGATTAAGTATCATGATGAGCAAAACTGTTTCAGACATATGTGAAAAGGAAATGGAGTTAAAAATTGAACCAAATGAACAAGCAAAGCACACAATCAAGATCCTAACAGATGCAATGGTGTCGATGAGTAGAAAGCTGCCTCCGCCTCCAGGGACAACACAACACCAACAAGAGCAGCAGCAAGACCCACAGCATCCAGAGGACCAACAGCATCAACAGGAGCAAGAGCAACGCCGAGAAGTAGACCTCCAGGATGCACAGATTTGTGAATTGTGCGAGATGGCATGGAAGGCCGCTGAAAGCAGGTTTGCAACAATAATAGAACGGCTGCAATGACAAGTAGCTAACCAACTACAACAACAACAACAACAACAACAACAACAACACCAACAAACTTGTGACAACACTGTACCAGCTCCAATTGATCCCACAAATTTTCAAGACATTGGAATTGACAAAGCACAGGGACTGGAGCAATTGAGCAAGTGACGTGCTTATAAGTTACCTATATTTAATATCCCTTTATGCTAGATTTTTGCCAATATTTGAGTATAAAACATGCTATTTATATGATTTAATATTTATTTATAGGAATTGTACTCAAATGAATTGATTGTTGGAGTTTTGGGCTAAATTAAAGACAAAGAGCAACTGAAAAGGGTCGAGTTGAAGAAGAGAGGAAACTCAAGAGGAGGAAAGTGGAGAGCTTAAAAGTCAAAGGGATGAGAACGCAAATTTGGCAAATTAATCCAAAAATCTAGCCGAAGTAAAGTTTGTGCATGGGCTTTGGTTGATTGAGATGGGTCAATTATGGTCGAAGAAAAGAAAAAGGAGTATTCAATTTTCATGGGCTTAAGTTAATGAATAATTGGCTAGCTTTCTAAAGCCATGAACTCACGCACTCAACCCATAAAATTGTGACCCAATTTTGTTACTTGAAAAATAAGACACCAAAAGATAAAATAGCACTATAAAAGAGAGGGCTGGGTCTTTGTTTTCAGACAGAACCGAACGCGCAAAAATTCAATATCAAAAGGAGAAGCAGCCGCGCTCGGGAGGAGCAAAGCAAAATCGACGGACGCAATTTTTTTTCTGGGTTCCATTGTTTTAATTATTTTTATTTTAGAATAATGTGTAGCTAAATATTTTTAATCTAGGGTTTTGGTTGTAGCCGCCATACTATTTAATTTAATTTAATTTATGATTGTGACTTTTTCATTAGTTGATATTTAATATTCTTGTTTTTATTCCATGTGAGTATTTGATCACCACTTGCATGCTTTAAAGGTGTTTAACTGAAAGAACGACGGTTGAAGGTTAGCACTAGTTCAATGAAATATTAAACTTAGCTAGTGTGCCACGATAGTAGGAACACCGTCTTTTCAAATATAGATTCTAGGGTTCTTAATGTACTCTAATTAAATCCTATAGTCACAATAGTAGTTATAGGGTTAGTTTGAGTAAGAGAATTATATTAGGACAGTTAATAGTTCTTAAATAGGTGAATCGTTGTGAGATTTAATAAAAGTCCAAAGTCACATATCTATAGGTTGAGTTAAACTGAGTAGTTGGTAGGTGAACCCCTTTGCCCTAGGTTTTCTTTTACTTGCTAGGTTTTTTTTCTATTTAATTAATTAGATTTTAATTATTATTTTTAGGTTCAGATTAGTATAAATTGATAAATTGTTAATCTAAATAATAATAAGAAATAGTTTTAACCGGTACTTGGTATCCTTCTCTGTAGGATCGACCCTGGTTGCTGCTTTACTGCTAGTAGTTGTAATAAGTAGGTAATTAATATTTGATTAGTATGACGACGGCTTGTCAGCGAGACAAATGATGAGGATTCTCTTCCAGTATGGAAATTCGTGCCTACTTCAAAAGAAGTGGTTGTTGATGAACAACAAACTCAATCACAAGGTAATGAATATTTTTGTCATACATTTCTTACTGCTTATAAAAAATAAAAAAAATAAAAACCAATGTCCACCTCGTTCGTACTCGTTATCCAATCGGTTTGTATTGGCTATCCAATTATTTTTACTGATTGTCCAAATGAGTTTGTATTGCTTGTCCTATCATTTTTTTTTTCTGTTGAGAAAAATGCTTGTCTAATTAATGTGTTCATACTGATTGTCCAACCCCCTGCTATTGTTTCTCCAGCTTTTTTTTTTAATTCAAAAAATACTTGTCCGATGTGATTGTACTTGTCATCCAACTAATTTGTACTGCTTATCCAACCCCTTTTTTCCCTTTAAATGGTTATCCACTGTGTTCCTGCCAATTATCCGGCCTGTTTGAACTGATTATCCACTTCGTTTGAACTGGTTATCCAATGTGTCCAATATATATGTATGTTCATACTGATTATCCAATATTCCACCTTTGTACTGCAGCATATGGAACGAATATCTCCACAACAAAAAGGAAGAGAAACCAAGAAAAGCAAAAAGCTTCAAAAGCTTGCGAAAGAAGAAGAGGAGAAATGGCAGACAACAGATCCCATCAAGATTCCACCAGCCAGGGCAGAGACACACAAGTGGAAGACAAGGCAAAATCCAATCAAGAATCAACCAAACTAGATTCAGGTGTGACACCCACAACAAACCAACCTGGTGCAACATCCACCTATACCAGAAGGACGAGAAGCACTGGTACTAGGAAAAAGAAAGTAGTCAAAGACCCAACTATCCCACATTTTGGCCTGGGCATCTTCTCCAGTCAGGAAGACAGTTACGAGACAACCCAGGAGAAGAACACTGAGGAAGACAATTCAGAAAAACAATTCAATGAGCATACCAAAGATGATGATGTTCTAGTACCAACTCCAGTTGAAGAAACGAACAATCCCAGTCATTCCATCGAAAATATCACAGGAAGTGTCGATTCGGATAAAGATGTCGATGAGACTATCGAAACTGAAGAATATCCCGTACTATCTGCACTCGACAAAACAAAGAATCCCACTCCTTCCATCAATGAAATCATAAGAAGGGCCAGTGCCCCAGCTTCAAAATCATTTAGTGATACCAGAAAACTAGAGATGATTGCTGCTGCTGCAGAACAAGTTGAGAAGAACTCAAAGGTGGTTGAAGCAATCCCTATAAGCATAATTCCACCCGATTGGAATATTGCTTCTACCACGGGTGGTCTACTGATGCTGGAGAAAAATGAGTATACCACGCCACCGCCTACAATCTCAAAGAAAGTTGATGAGCTTGATGAAGAGTTAACAAAGACAGTGGAAAAGTAAGTTTGATCCACTGTGACTCCCCACTACAAAATAGAAAGACAAATTTACATACTAACTCTCTTTTGTTTTGTCCTAGGATCCTCAATGAAAAACCTAAGAGGAGAAATCCAGCAAGAGTCCGCCGGTTGCCTGAACGGTTCAGGTCGCCATTCATGCTCCAAAAGAAGAACAAGAAAAAATTCATACAGTGGACAGAGGAGAAAAAGAAAATGACCCAAGAAGAAGGCCTGTTGATAGACTTCGCTCTCTTACAAGATAAGAAGACATAGTTAAATCAGGGTAAAAGTCACCATCCTTACCCGTGGGATAAAAAACTTACTAGTGTCCCAACTATTTGTCTATTTGACTACTTTTTCTATGCAGGAAAATCTTGTTTGAATTTGGAAAAATAGTTTGGGTAGACAGGACAACATTCTATTCCATGAGGGAAGGGACATGGATAGAAAACAGCATCATAGATGCTTGGGCTGTCATCCTAAACAAAGAAGAAGCGAAGAGTGACTCCCCAACACGGATATTCTTTGGTGTTTTGTCATTTGTAAGTCAACTAAACCCTTATTGCTTATCTCGCCCTGGTAAAATACTTGTCAAATGTCTGCAAATTGTTTATCTACATGTTTGTACTTATTATCCAATTTGTTATTAATGCTTATCCACCAGAGTTGAACTGGTTATCCAAGCCTTCTTGTTATGCATTTTGCTATGTGATTGTTTTCGTCTCCCTTGTATGTGGTGGCTTGTCCATGATTCATTTGCTGGTTATCCATCTGTTCTGTACTACTTATTCACAAGATCTAAACTGGTTAACCATTCCTTCTTGTGTGTCATCTAGGATACTTTTGGTTGACCTTGTATGTGCTTGATTCCGATCATTGTTTTCATTTGTATCATTTTCCAACCATCTCAAACAATAACGTAGGATAAAATCAGTCGCTACTTTGAAGAGGGCAGTAACAAGGATGACATGGAGTTTGCATTTTATGAGAGGTTGGCTCTTGAACTGGAAGAACAAGGCCTTACTGTAGCATCCCTGTTAGCAGCAAAAGCTGTAAGCAACATCTTTCACCCCCTTTACTCTTTCTAAAACTGGCTGTTAAAAAATTTTCATATGATTTCCCCCTTCAATGTGAAATATCAGATCTACTTCTCAGAACACTACCAAGACCATTACTTTTTGTACGCGTTGCTGGTTGAAGAAATGCAAGTGCTTGTATTCAACAATCTTCATCCAAAAGATCCAGATTACTACAACCCGACAAAAGATCTACTTGTGAGTGAAAAAAAGATACAAAATGATTGTCATACTTTAAGAATTATCCATTGCATTTTGCTGATCCCTGGATTTTATGGCATCACAGTTTCAATTCTTCAAAAGCTACATCGCATGTGTGTTTCCAGGCATAGAACTGGTCAGTACTGAATAAATACAGAGGTTAAGCGACCATCGCATAAGGACAAAACGCCGAATGGGGAAGATTGTGGAATATACACAATGCATCACATGGAGCGGTGTGATGGTGGTGAGTATAAGGATGGTACTACTTTGGATTTCAACACAGGAAACATCAAAGAATACCGGTGGAAATACATGATAAGAATCCTAATGCACCCAGTCAACAAAAATAAAAACAAAATCCTCGAAGCAATGCACCAGTTCTTACAAATACTGCTGAAGAAAAACAAAAAGTAATTCTAGATCATGTTGATTTGAGCAGTGAATCTTACTACAATAACAGAAAAACTGAGGGATGGGTTAAATGAACTGTCATTATGTTCTCTTGTATAATTGATTAACTGTTGATCCTAAAGTGTTTGATATCCAACAGCTGTGTACTGGCCACCCTAGTATATTATCCATTCGTTTGTAATGGTTATCCAGGATCTTTGTACTAGTTATCCAACTTGTTTACACCTGATTATCCGAATGTTTAATAGTGATTATCCAGTCAAAAAAATGCAAGTACAGTCTTTAACCTGATTATCCATGAGTTTATACTTGTTATCCAAAACCTCAATGATGCTTATCCATATGTAACCGATGCCTATCCACCATATGGACATAACAAAACAAGGATTCAGACAAGGCTTCCAAAAAGAAATAACAAAAGTCCCCGATTGGTACTGGACCTAAACCTAATCACTGTCGCTAGGTATGTTCCAGGCACCATTGTCGTTGTTTCCATAAGAAAATGGTTATCCAGACAATGTATTTTGGTTGTCCAAATATTTCTGTAAATTTCCAAACAACAAAAACTGAGTGTCCCAATTTCTTGGTCTTTCTACTTCTTTGTTAAACTGCCTATCCTATGATGTTATACTGCTTATCCAATATTTCTTTGCTGATTATCCAATGCTCTGTATTGATTATCCAGGATTTTTGTATTGGTTATCCAGCCAATGTGCAGAATAAATTATGCATCAAATTAACTCAGATTCCATAAATTAACATAGATTAAAATTAACATAAATTAAAATTTTTATTAATTTCTTTAAAAAAAAAAGAAATTACAAAAGCAGAGGGAGATCCTATAAGTCCCTCGATTCCATTACAATAAAAAAAAAAGACAAGACAAGATCAAAGGGGGGCCATAATCGCTCTCTTCCGACTCAGGGCCATTGAGAAATGGGTTCATCGGGTGGCCGATCTTATCCACTTTCTTCTCAACCTTGTCAACCCTCTTGTCGACATCCTTGAACACTTCCTTCAAACCATCCTGCATTTCTTTGATCTCCTCTTCCAGCGACTCAATCTTACCATCCATTTTTTTGACACTTGCTTGAATCTCCTTCAACAGCATGAAGATGTCAAGCAGAGTGGGTTGTTCTGCCTCCGGAACAAGGGCTGCAGTGGATTCAGCCATAACAACAATAGCAGTTTCAGGGTTCATTTTTTTTTTTAGAGAAGAAGAGAACAAGAGCAAATGGAGTGTTTACTTTTGCTTCAGTGAAGGAAAATAGAGAAATGTTGATGAGATTTGTTCAGTTAGTGTTGTATTTTATAGAGGAGAAACAGGGAAAATGGAAAGATAAAGAGCCACAACGATTTAATGTAGTGCAGGTTACATAACTATCATTAAAGGATTTTCTTGATTATCACAATGGACAGTTAATGAAAAGAGACTGAACAGCTCATTCGTGCAAAAAACTAGGACCATCAAACTACCTCTGAGACTACCTTTGAAAACAGCATAAATCCGTCAAACTACCTCTGAGACTAACAGTGAAAACAGCAATAATCCGTCAAACTAACTCTAAGACTACAAAAAAGGCTATCCATTGGTTTTCTCTTGCTAATCCAAAATCTCGTCGATTATCCATTGGTTTTATAGTGTTTATCCAATGAACTGTAACATTCTCTTTTCAGTCAAAAATGCATTTAACTATAGTAAAAAAGCAACACGTTTTTTGAAATGGAATACAATGAATAAATAATCTAATCACCAGTTTCGCAACCCCCACCAATTATCACCACCGGCAGGAGAGTCTCTTAATTAAAGAAGCAAACAGCATGTTAATTGGGGGGTTTCGCCCACCCTCCCCCCCCTCCCCCCATGATAAACTAAACGACTCCCGCGGTTACCGGAATCGTAGGTCACCAACCTGCCCCGGCTGTGCCGCCCCGCTGAACACGCCAATGTAGCTAAGGTAATTTTCGTGTGTGTGTAAGAAGAGTGTGTGTGTAAGGAGAGTGTATTATTACGTTAAGAGGGGACACAAATTACTGGTACAAATCCCCCTATGATAAACTAAATGACCCGGCTGTGCTAGTGCCCACGGTTGCGCCACTCCCCTCGCCGAACACGACAAATTTCATAAATAGTATTTAATTGAATGAGGGGTATTTTGCCAAATGATGGAGAACAAAAAATGAATGAGGGGCAGTTTGCCAAATGATGGAAATAACGTTCAATTGTGTATAATTAATTATTCATATTGTCAATACTTGTTATCCAACTGTGTATAACTAATTATCCATAGTGCCAACACTAGTTATCCACATTGTGAACACTGGTTGTCCATAGTGTGTAGTTGGTTAGTGTGTATAACTGAAAAGCCACACGTTTTGTAATTAAATAGAATTTAAATACTTGTATAAATCCCCCGTGATAAGCTAAACGACTCGCCTGCGCCGGTGCCCGCGGCTGCGCTGCCTTTCGCGGCTGTACCACCCCCATGCCGAACATGGCAAATTTCATAAATAGTATTTAATTGAATGAGGGCCAGTTTCGCCACTCTGGTGGAATCGGAGCCTTTCCTCGATCGCTGAACACCGTCGCCGTCTCAACGACTTGATCGCCGTCGGCTGTGTCCACCTCAACGCCTCGATCGCTGACTCCCATTGCCGCCTCAACGTCTCGATCGCTGCCGGCTGTCGCGCAACAATGATACTCCATCACAAAGTTTTCAAAATTTGAATGAATTTGGTAATTTATATATGCCGCGTTTAAAAAAAAAAGAAAAAAAAACTGAATTATCTAACGGATTCACGCTATCCTAAGAGAGTAAAGTAAACGCGAAGGGGTTACACGGTGCCCCCGGGTGTACCAGATAATTTGCCATTTCCAATATGCGCCTGAAATAGGCCACCCTGATGATTTTGCTAATTTTTGCAAAATAGGCAATTCCCTGAAATTAATTTCCAGATTTTTTTGCAAATTTTCTTAAAGATATAAAGATAACGCCTATATATAGATTGGGATGTCGTCCATGAATCGGCACCTTGACTTTCTTTTCTCTCCAGCATAGTTTGAGTACGTGTTGATTAATACATATACATTGTCTTATAGAGCACCAAGAAATTCAAGAATTTGAAGAATCAAAAAGCATGGAGCTAGCAGCTCGGAGAAATTCTTTAGTGATGACAGTGACCACAGTGATGCTGAAACTAGTGATCACCCTGCTGATACTGACTGTAGTAGTGAGTTCGATCCGGTGGTGATAATGATGCTGCCTCCGACGGCGATAATGTTGTCGATGATGTTGGTAATCATGATGATACTGATGACGATCAATTCTTTACAGACGATGGGAGTGATGGTGCCGATTGAGATAATTACTTTAGCGATAGGGATGATATATCACAGTAGCGGTGATGATTAATAAGTTCCAAAATTCAAGGGAATTGTGTTTTGCTTTTCTACTTACCGCAATAGGTTAGTTTAGATTATTATTGGATCATGTAATAGATGCACTTAAAGTTTTGAGGTATCCGTAGTCGGACGAACCCACTGTTGGATCTTACGTACTTTTTTTTGGTTATCTTCGAATTTGATGTTGATCGAGTAAATTTTACTTAGTTTGATTTCAACAATCTAACTTATTGTAGTTCTTCTATCCAAAAATAAATAAATAAATAATTTTCAAATTTGTTGTAAAATTTATGAAAATCTAGAAACACAATGTTACTTATTTTTGTGGGGCAAAGGAAGTATGATTTTCATTTATCAAAGTAAACTATTAATTGAATTGTGACATAGAACATTTATATTCTTTCATTACTTTCAAATCCAAATAATGTCATTGATTGCGTCCTTTTGTCTCCATTGCTGATTACTACTATCATTGACGCCTTGGACACAATGGGAAAAAAAAGAGCAATTTATTTAACATATTCAAGGAATTACCAGTTTTGTTATTGATTTTTTTTAATGACTTACCAGTTTTGCTATTTAATTATTATCATAGCATGAAAAACACAAAAATTGGAAATTTTTGCGGCAGCGCTACCCATAAAAAATACGGATTCGAGTCATGTAAGACTTTTTTGGGTAGTTAACTTATCCCAGCACTACGGATCACATTCAAATCTTACCCAATTAATTAAGCTTTTGGCACCTACTTAGGACCAGCAAAAAACTATCGTACTCAATAATCATTGATCGAGGCATCATCAAAATATAAAAGAACAATATTCCTCATTACTAGGTGTTTTTTTTTCCCTTTTTTTCCCCCTAAAAATAGGGTTATGATTGTATTTAACGCAACTAATGATTAAATAGTTCCCGCAATAGCTTAAAACCCTCCGGATATTAAATCATGATGAACTCAACAATACAGTCAACTGGTTTTTCGAAAAAAAACCCTATTTTTATAATATTATTGGTGGAGCTACCACCACCAAATCGTAATCACCTCTACAAATCCATCGTTCACGGGAGCACACACAAGGAGAAGAGCACTACAGTTTGGTTACATTAAGTTCAGCGTATACAGAACCAAACCTCTATGATCCCACATCAAAACTTTGCGATTACTGAAAAAAGAAGAGGGGCGATGATTCATTCAAAAGGCTGCAGTTGAGAATAGTACAATACAAGAAGCTACACCTTTCTCCCAAAGTATACTACGTACAATTATTGCAACATTAGATTTTTTAAAATTTTTTAATCAATTAATAAGCAATTATAATTCCTTGTACAATCAATTAATCTTGATCAGTGGTTATAGTTAATGAAGCTTTTTCAGAAATGACAACCTTTATCCATACGAAACAAAAGGTATATGGCAACATATATGTAGACTACCATCAAGGGAAAGACTACAAGGAAGATCTTCCCGATGTTTGATAAACTGTGATCGTGAATTAACCACTGAACAAAGTTTGTGATGAGATAGTAAACGTTGATGCCCATGATTCCCAACCCCAGGGTCCAAGAACTCACAATAATTTGATAGATTAATTATTTAAATAAAATTGTTATAATCCTGTCCCAAAAATAGTTCACGTTGAATAATACCTCAAGGTGAATTATTCTTTTGGGATAGAGGAAGCATAAAATACCACACATATGAAGATTATCAGTACATATAATGTTAAGCGTACAACTGTATCAAACTTTTAAATGTAGATATATATATCATTGTATAGTGATGGCTGAGTGACTTTTTCAAAAATGTAGGTCGTTTTAGGTTTGGAGAGATTTTTCAAAATGTAAGTCGTTTTACAAATTTTAGGCAAATTAGTGACTATTTTTCCAATTTTACCCTCAAGAAATGATGTTAATTTATTTTTATTTAGTCTTATTTATAGTTCCAACGTAATTAATGAGGGGTAAAAAAGATATTTAATATATAAATTAATTGTTGGATGATTGCCTCCTTAGTTTACGTGTCAAGTCTAAAAAGACTTACATTTTGAAATGGATGGTGTGTAAATTACCTGAAGAAGGAAAGAGGACGATTCGAGTTTAAGATTTTTCTTTTTTTGTTTCTTCTGTATGTTTGTCTCATCAATCTACGGGTATTTTTGAGATCTGTTTGTTGATTCGTGGGATGGAAGGAGGTTTCGATGAACTTTGTTAACTTAAGCAGGAGCTGTAAATAAACCACGGATTTGTTTTTTAACAGTGATACACAGAGTGACACCTCGGAGAAGAGAGTAAGAGCTGTAGGTCCAACAATGGTTTGTTCCTCGTTTCTTTCATCTCCATTTGGAATTTCTTCAATAGTCTTAATTTTCAGTTGAAGATTTTGACGTGATGATCCCCTGTTTTCCCGTCTTTGGTTAATTCTGCAAGAAGTCACTGTGAATTCTTTATCACAGTTCAGTGATCAAGCCATGAAACAAGATATTAGGGATTGTTTGCAGAGATGAAATGATAGCAGTAATGGCTTTCAAGTTAAAATCGATACTTTTGCAGAGATGAAACTGAAAGAATAATTGTGTGTATTATTTACGTTGTACATCATGGTATTTATAGTACATAAAGTTACAACCCTAGCCGACTATATCGGAAACCCTAATTAGGGTTTCCGTGATTATATATATTCTATCATCCCCTCGCAATCGTAGCAGGGGAAGGAATCATGCCTAGATTGGTTCGAACGAATAAAATTTATCCTTTGCTAATGATTTTGTAAAGACATCTGCAAGCTGGAACTGTGTGAA